CAGTGCTGTCCTTAGGGTCTTTAAAGGTGGGAGATAGAGATGTCAGTAAATGTGCATCCTTGGACAAGTCACTTTCACTCTCTGCCAGGCTGGCCTTGGATTCCAGGGGATAGAGACAGGGGCTCCTCTTCAGCTGAAAGATCTGTTGATTGTTTTCATGATGAGTTGTTGAATTAGGGTTACTCACAGTAGCAAGTTGAATGAAGACTCACTCTGTGTGAGTTCTAGGAGTTTAAAATGAGACTTGACCAGTTTTCTGCTACCCTTTAATACCAACAGAGCACCCTGGGGGAGAGAAAAGAGGTGGTGGATGGCAGGTGGCAGGCATCTCAGCCACCATCTCTCCTGGGAACCAGCACCCCAAGCCAAAGATCCTTGGGAATAGCAGTACCTCCAGAAAACCTGCCCTGCTTCCAGTCCGTGCTCTGCAGCCATAATGGAGAGGAATGATCAATATGGAGACAGATGAGATAGGATCTACTTTCCACCCACAGCCGTCTATACTACCTGCTGAGATGGGCAGATAAGCTCACCAGCCTGGGAGTGACTGGGTTCCCAGTTTGGTTAGTCTTCCAATTCAGTTCTCTTGGCCATCATCCTAGGAAGCAACCCCTGGCTGGTAATATGGCCTGGCAACTATTTCTGTGGGTATGGTACTATAGCTCCCAAAAACCCACCGAAGTCCTTGGTTCAACATTGGAGACAGATATGGTTTTATCAGTGGAATTGCCTCACCTCCATATTTACTACCCAGCTACCTGCTAGTTGGACTCCCTGGTGACCATGAGGAAAGAAGCAATATGTAGTTGAGGATATATATATATGGGTGCCAAGGAGGGCCCATCTATAAGGGGCAGTTGGGTTGGTGGCATGTGGGGAGAGAAGTCAGAGCAAAATCTGGATGAAGAGGGAACTGCATGATGGTAACCTCTGAAGGTGTGGAGAAACCTGTCAAGACCACCCAGCCTGAAGGAAACTGCCCAGATTGGGTAGGGGAATTTTTAATGGAGGTGGGGGCAATGTTCCTCTCTTGCTTACTAATTCAACTGTAGAAGTCTCAAGGGAATGGGGCAGCAAGCTGTGGAAAACACCAGTGGAAATCCTCACATATTAACAAACAACAATGATGATTCACATTAGACATTATACCTAGTTGAGAATCCATAGACCTTTTGCCCTGGTTTTCATTGTTGTTCAGTCATTTCAGTCACATCTGACTCTTTGTGACTCCTTTTGGGGTTTTCTTGACGAAGAGAGTGGAGTGGTTTGTCATTTCCTTCTCCAGCTCATTTTACAGATGAGGAAATTGAGGCAAGCAGGGTTAAGTGACTTGCCCAGGGTCACACCAATGCTAAGTGTCTGAGGCTGGATTTGGACTCAGGAAAACTGGACTCCAGGCCCAGCACTATTCGCTGCACCACCTAGCTGCCCTGGTTTTCACAGATCCTTAAAATATTTTCCCCCATTGAGTGGGAGCACACTTTCTGGAAAGAGGACCACTGAGGCATCCTCAGGCACCAGGTCCCTTTACAAGGTGATTCATTTTATGGGAAGAAGGCACTGGTATTGTTATTTCACCTCTGGGGCTTCAGTCTCTTCATCTGTAAAGTTAGGGCTCCAGGGTTGGGACTAGATGGATGGTCTTAAAAATCCCTTTCAGCTCTAACATTCTGTGATTCCGAGGAGGAATTAGTATGAGCTGGAGCGGTCAGGGGAGGCTTCCTGGAGGAGGATGGACTTTGTGGAGAGAAGGGAGGGTGTTCCAGGCAGAGGAACAGCAGAGGTCTGCATCTTTGTGTGTACAATCTTTGCTCACAGAATAAAGAGAGAGACCTGACTAAGATTTTAGCAGGGTGGGGATGAGGGTGGGGGTGATGTAGGAGGAGAAGGTGTTTCCGTAATTCATAGGTCAGTTGCTTAAAATGTCTACCAGATACTTCAAACTGTATTTCTCAGGAACTCACTGTAACAAAGGGCAAACAAAGGAAACTAGAAAAGATTTGCATATAGGACCAAATGAGCAGCCAAGGTCAAGAAGGAAGATAAAAGAAAAACAAATGACTCTCACAGTATCTGGCAACCAGCCCGCTCCACCCCACAGCCAGGCTCCCAGAGGCCGGCAACATGTTCTTACACAGAATCCCAGGTCGGCAGAGCTGCAGGGAACTTTGAGAGCATCGAGGCCAGGGATTCTTATGCTTCCTTGTATCTCAGACCCCTTGGGCAGCAGTCTAGTGAAGCCTGTGGACCCCTTCTCAGAAGAATGTCGTCAAATGCACAAAATGCTAGGCATAGGATTACCGAGGAAACCATTATATTGAAATACAGTTATCAATTAAAAAAACATGTACTCCAGATTAAAAACCTTTGATATAATCTGACCTGAGGCTGAAAGTGAATCTACTTGTCCCAGTTCAGAACCCCGCTAGGAAATGTCAAAGCCAAGGCTCGAACTTATGTCTTGTGTGTCTTTGGACACGTGCTCCTTTCTCTGCATGCTTCCTCTAAAAGAAAAGAGGAATGTGAAGAAAGGAAAGGATGATGGATGGATGAGAAGGTGATCAAGAGAAGAGAATATGGAGATTCTGATGAAGGGAGGAATGAAGGGCAGGGCTGTCAATCATGACATCAGACTTCGGGTTACTACTTCAGGTGGTAATAATATAATAGTGATATAAGGTTGGCCAATGAAGGAAATCCCTTCATTAGAGTCTTTGGAGTACTTTATGTGGTTTTTGTATCTGTTTATGGGCTACTCCGAGGTTTTTTTTTTTCTTCATTTTATGAATTTTCTGTGGGGTAAAATCAAGGCTGTCCCAAATACTTGTTAACCTTAGTGCTTGTGTGGCATCTGGGGACCTCTTTTATCCACATCTGTAGTAACCTCGAAGTGAAATTTTTTACCAGCGTAAACTCCATTTGGGAGCAATGGACCAAAGAGAATGATGCTCTTGGATCAGCCTCTGATCTTGGATTCAATCTATGTGAACCCGGAATCTTGGTGTAGCAGTGGAGGGGGCAGGGCTTAGGAATGGACCATAATTTAAAGTTTGCACAGTATGTTTCCCATAACAGCTGTATGACGTGGTAAGTGCAAACATTATGATGCCCATTTTACTGATGGTAAAACCAAGGCTCTGAGAGTCAAAGTGATTTGTCTCTGATTACACAGCTTGTGTTTAAAGTCTTGAGCTCTGCCCATAATAGAATTGATCTTTTCCCTCAGCCACAGGTTTGGGGAATAGTTTTTCTGATATGAACAAGAAATATTCAGCATAACTGTTGTGGTGTAGATATGGCTAGGAAAGCATTTGCTTTATTTATGTTTGAATATTTTGTGGATCTGTGACTGTTGTCTTGGGTGGACCCATGTAGAGAACAATCTCTAAACATCGGTAGTTGGCTTTTCAAAGTCTCAACCCGGCCTGAGTGTCTGGTCCACGGTGGGAGGGGACACACAGCCTGTTGCTGGACCCAGATTTAGTGGAAGCCTTTCCCATCTTGGGAGGGGCATAGAGCCTGTGTTCTCCTGGCAGAGCTACAGAAATCCAGGGCTGGACTGAGGCATCTGAAGAGGACTTCATCGTGGACATTCATTATAATGCCACAACATTTTTACACTGGCCTGAAATCCCAATCATTACATCATTTCTCTGAGTCAGACAGAGGGGAAGAATATTATTTCTGGAAAACCCCTCCGAGAATGCACATCCTAGGACTGTAGATCTGACATGTAAAGGGACTACAGAGGCCATTTAGTCTAATAGCTTCATTTTACAGATGAGAAAACCAAGGCTCGCCTGGGGGTTTGGCTACTGCTGCAACCATCTTGTAGCTTCCTCCTTAATGCCTTGTTCTGGTCAAGCCCAGCTGCTTCTGTGTTGATGAAGGCCAGGGAGGGACGCCAATGCTCTCTTCAATTTGGCTTCATAAGACAAAGCCTCCACTGCTTACCCTAGTTCTAGCCATTGTTGAATGTAGGCTGAGATGTGCTTTGCTTTTCTGGTTCCCTGAGTCCTCACAGCCTCAGGCAGTCGACTCTTCCTCTGGATGGGTGTGGGCTCCTTGAGGTCATTGGCTATTTTGAACAAATTACTTCCTCTGATCTCAGAAGCTGAAACATCATTAGTGGTGTCCCAGGGCCATCGTTCTATGAGGCCTTCCCTGAACCTAACAGCTCTCTCCCCAGGGACCCCACCAGAGATGTCTATGCTCCAGTGACCATGCTTTGTGGCTGGCCCTTCTTGGCCTAAGATTCACTTCCTGCTGTTCTGTCTGGGCGCCAATGAGGAGAAAGGGTGAAGGCGTTTATAGATGTGCCACCTGCCTCAGAGCCCAGCACCCTGGGAGAGAGGGAGCAAGATGAACATAGATGATTACGAGAACGTTAGCCTAGGGAAGCCATCACCTTGGCCGCTTGGTGAGTTTCTCCCAAATCCTACTTTTCCCCTGGGTCTCCTTTTCCTCCCCACATCTTCCAACTCTTCAGAGGAACTTGTGGACTCAGGGAGCCATTCTAGGCTCTAAGCTGGGGTCTCTGGGAGGATTTGGGGAGGGGATCAGCCTTTGAGGATGACTCTTTGGGAATCCTGATTTTCCCACAGGAAATATTTTGGTCTTAGCTCCTATCCAAGATGGGTCTGCTTGAGGTGGTGGGTGTCTATGCACAGAGAGACACAAGCTGATCCTTTCTGGGCTGTTTGAATGGGACTTGGGGTCAGCTCAGCTCTTGCACGTACACAGGGCAAACTCAGCATGAGGACGTTTTTAGTACCACTGACTCTGTAAGAAAATCTCCCATCTGCCCTGTACATATCTCATTTGTACATCGTGGTTTGCATATCATCTCTCTCGTTAGAATGTGAGCTCCTTGAGGGCAAAGACTGTTTTTTTTTTTAACTTTTGCTCATCTTTTCAGCATTTAGCACAGTGCCTGGCCGTAATAGGTGCTTCATAGATGCTTGGTGACTGGACTTGACAATGAATTCTCTCCCTCCCAGGACAGTTTCTCAGGATAGAGCCGCGTCCAGCCCACAAGACTCCAAGGATGGTCCGGGTAACCCTGGTTCTCCTGACTCTGGCCTTGCTGGCCTCCCTCACTGCTATCATCATTCTTTGTAAGTTCCCGGGTGGTTTGTGGCTTCACATCTGTGCTGTATTGCTTACCCCTTACCCTGTCCTGGGGCCATCATTGCCTCACTAAGCTTCAAAGGATCTGGAGTAATTATCTTGGCCCATCTTCCTGTCTTCAGTAAAGACTTATATGGAAACCCATTCCAGATGAGAAAAACATAATAATGCTAGTCAATATTAATACAGGCAGGTCCCAATTAGTACAAACAAGCAACTCCATCATTCACATGTTAACTGGGACCTGGCTGCCTGTCACTTTAAGGTTAGCAAAGTGCTTTGCATATATTATCTAATTTGGTCCTCAAAACAGTTGGAGGGTGCCATAATCATACTCCATTTACAGTGGACAGAGATTAAGTGACTTTACCAGGGTGACACCACTAAGATGCAGTAAGTGTGTGAGGCTGGATTGGAATTCAGGTCTTCCTGTCTCCAAGTGTAGTATTCTACCTATGACTCAATATTGCTTCTTTTATGTGTCTAGAATAGTGCCTAACTGGCATTTAGTAAATGCTGATTAATCAACTGTAAAGAGTGCTGGGTTTGGAGTCAGAAGACTTGAGTTCTTTTCTTGGCTTTCCTTGTTACTACCTGTAACAAGGATTTTGGGCAAAGTCATGTGTCCTCTCTGGGACTCAGTTTCTTATCTGTAAAATGAGAAGTTTGAGTTCGATAAAAGAATGATAAGGCATTTATAGGGCAGCTAGGTGGCGCCATAGTGCATAGAGCACTGGGCTTGGAGTCAGGAAGACTCACCTTGATGAGTTCAAATCTGGCCTCAGACACTTAGTACCTGTGTGACCTTGGGCAAGTCACTTCACCATGTTTGCCTCAGTTTCCTCATCAGTAAAAGGAGCCAGAGGAGGAAATGACAAAACCCTTCAGTATCTTTGCTGTGAAAACCCCAAATGGGGCTGTGAAGAGTTGCACATGATGAAATGACTCAACAACCACAAAAAAAGCATTTATCAAGCCCTTACTATGTATAAAGCACCCTTTGGGGTACAAATGTATAAACAAAGACTGCACCTGTTCTCAAGAAGCTTAAATCCTAATAGGGAGCGATCACATAGGGGAATGACAGCCAGGCAGGAGAGTGTTGGCTTGGAAGCCATAGGGATGCCCTTTGATGTAGTCTCTACTATGAATTTATGGTTCTAAGCAGAATATTTCATATTTTTGAAGATTTGTTGCCAAGGCAACCCATTCCAGTGGGTTTTATCCTCTCTACTCTACCATCATTTCTTTTATACTGCTTTCAGAGAGAATTGTTGTTTTTGGTGAGATGGGGCAGGAGCTGGGCTTGTGCTTTCATCAGGGTGGGAACTCCCAGTGTGGAAACTTCTTCCACTATTGCAGTCTGTAACTTACAGTCTTTGAGGTAATCTGGTGAACTGAGATGTTAAGTAAGCTGCCCAGGGTCACGCAGCTGGCGTGTGGCAGACATGGAACCTGAGCCCAAGTCTTCCTGCCTCCAAGGCTGACTCTCTATCTACTATGCCATGCTCAGTGTCTTTCTATTAGGGTGAGCGAGGCAATTTCCTTTTGTGAAGAGAATGAGGTGAAAAAAGGAAGCCAACACATCCAGGTCATATGGGCCATTAGTAGAAAATTTGGTTTCAATAACCATCTCTCCCCTTTTGGGGCCAAACTTTTTTCACCTGATGAAGTGATGGGGCCCAATCACTCCCATGCTCACTTTTTAAGGTATCAGTATTTTTTATTCCCTTCTAGGTGACCTGGCCTGGAAAGTGACTGTTGACTTGGCAGACTTAGCATCAGCATCAATATGCCTCATTAGTACAGATCTCATCCTGGAGGTATTTATGAGCCAGGGCTACAGGACAGAAAACAGAAAATCAGAACTGGGGACTGAGGAGAGTAGAGGCAGGGCAAGGGACCCAGCCAAGGTCTCATGGCTTAAAGCTTGCTTTCTTCTATCCAGCAGGATGAGGCATGCCCCCTTCAACCAAAGGAACCAAAGGACTTCTGAGCGAGACAAATACTCTGAGATTCCCATGGCCTCTCTAATTACATCTGTGTTGCTTGAAATCTGACACTAGCCAGCCTTAACTTTTCAATCTCTTAGATTTCCAGGTAGAGACATGCACAGGAAAAGAGGAAGCCCAGCGGAAGGCTTACCTGGATAATATTACCACCCTGACTTCAGAGATGCAGATGTTAAGAAGTCGTCTGGAAAACCCTAGGGTTCAGACGTTAGAGACCAAGAAGACTGGGAGTGGCCTGGAAAATGTCACAGCATCTAGTGCTGTCATGGAAGGGTTAAAAGGTTATTTGGAGACCATTACTGGCCTCCCTGTCAGCATCCATCAGGTACAGACCAGGGCCTCTGGAGTGAACCCTGAGATACCAGAGGAGGCCCGAGAGTTTGAGAGGGTCCTGAACCACCTGGAGGCCCCATTGAGGAGGCCCTGGAGTTTGGAGAGATCACTGAGACACCTGGAGCCCACGTGGAGAAGGTCTCAGCAACTGTTGAAGTCCAAACAGATGTGAAAATGTTAAAAGACCTTCTAGAGGCTGTTAATGCATCCTACATTGCAGTGAGAGATGAGTATAGTATGTTCATGGGGTCCTGTGGGATTGGGGAGTTTTTTTCTACATTTCCAGCATTTCAGCTCATAACAGTACCTGACATTTGTGTAATGGTTACAAGCTTACAAAGGGCTTTTTAATAGTCATCTTATTTTCCTAAATCTTAATGGGCATGACTAATATTAGAATCATAGATTTAAAGCTGCAAAGGACCATGGAGGCTACCTAGTCATGGAGAGAGTACTGGGTTTGCTGTCAGGAAGACTCCTAAGTTCAAAGCTTGCCTCAAATACTTTCATGCTGTGTGATTCTGGGCAAATCATTTAACTTGCCTCATTCATAAAATGGGAATAATATTAGTGTCTCCTTACAGAATTATTGTGAAGTTCAGATGAGAGAACATGCAAAATGCTTTGTAAGCCTTGTAGTGCTATGTAAACTACCACCACCACCATCACCATCATCATCACTCAGGAGTGAATTGAGGCTGATAGAGTGGAAGCGACTTCCCCAGGATCATGCAAGTAGCAGAGTCAAGATTTGAACTTCGGTACTTTATAGATCATTCATCAGAAACTGCTCACTCCAAAGCGATCAATGATCACTTAATTGCTAACTCTAATGGCCTTTTAAAAAAATCTTCTTCCTTCCTGAGCTCTCTCTGCCTTCAACACTGTTGATCACCCTCTTCTCTCAGATCCTCTCTTCTCTCTAGGGTTTTGTGCTACTGCTTTCTTGAAATTCTCCTCCTACCTGTCTGATTGTGCCTTCTCAGTCTCCTGTGCTATAGCTTCATCCAGATCATGCCCACTAACTACAGGTGTCTCCCCCAAGGTTCTGTCTTGGGTTCTGTTCTCATCTCCCTCTGGTAATTGCTGGTATCTCTCTAGATAATCTCATCAACTTCCATGGATTCCATTGTCACTTCTATTTAAAAGATGATCAGATCTATTGATCCAGTCCAAGCCTCTATCCTGACCTCCAGGGTCACATTTTTAACTGCCTATCGAATGACTTGAACTGCATTCTTGAACCACAGACATGTTAAACTCTGTTTGTCCAAAACCAAATTCATCATCTTTCCTCTCAAACTCTTCCTCCTTCTCCCGTGCCAAGGGCACCACTGACCTCCCAGGCTCACAGCCTAGGAGGCATCCTTGACTTCTCACTCATTCTAACCCCACACATCCAGTCATTTGCTAAGTCCTGTCATGTTGATCTTCAACAATATTTCTTGTATATACCCACATCTTTCCTCTGGCACAGTCACCACCCTGGTGCAGATCCTCATGACCTCATGCCTCTACTTAGTGCAACAGCCTAATGGTGGGTCTCCCTATCTCAAGTCTCTCCCCACACCAGTCTGTCTTCCTTTTGGTTGTCAAAGTGATCTTCCTAAAGTTCAAGTCTGACCATGTCATGTCCTTACTTAATAAACTCCAGCTTAATAAACTTCTTATTACAGCTAGGATCAAATATACAGTTTTCTGTTTGGCTTTTAAAGTCTTTCACAAACCTCTCCTTTCCTATATTTCCAGTCTTATACCTTTCTCCTTTCCCTGAATACTCTTCAATCCAGTGACAGTGTCCTCCTTGGAGTTCCTCACCCAAGATATTCCATCTCTAGTCTCCAGGCATTTTCACTGGCTGTCTCCCATGCCTAGGATGATTGTCCACCTCACCTACGATTCCTGACGTCCACCAAGTCTCAGCTTGAATTGCATTTTCTGTAGGAAGCCTTTCTCAGTCTCCCTTGCTTCTAATACCTTCCCTTTAAGACCACCTTCATTTTCACTGTTTATATCTTAAGTTTTTGTTGTCTCCTCCATTAGACCACGAGCTCTTTGAGAGTGGAAGCTGTTCATACCTCCCTTTGTATCATAATGACATGTAACAGGCACTTAATGAGTGCTTGTTAGCTTGACTTGACTCTGATTTCAAATCCAGAACCTTTCCACTGAGACACTCTGTATCATTATCCCTGTTTTATAAATTAGTCAACTTAGACTGAAAAAGGTTAAGAGACATGCCCACTCTGTATCCGTCATGCCTGGCATGGTGATTGGCATATGTAAAATTGACTTTAATTCCTTTTTTAAGACTTAACCAAGCTGGCATGGGGTTAATATTCTCCCATTCTGTGTAAGTCCAAACTCTTTACCTTTGTAAAGCCACCCTTCACCTACATTCCTGAGAAACTTGCCTAAAGGCCAAGCTTTTGTCTTTTGTTCAATGTGGCAGTCATGTCTGACTCTCCATGACCCCATTTGGGATGTTCTTGGTAAAGACAGTGGAGTAGTTTGCCATTTTCTTCTCCAGCTCATTTTATAGAGGGGGAAACTGAGGCAAACAGGGTGAAGTGACTTGCCCAGGGTCACACAGCTAGTAAATGTCTGAGGCCAGATTTGAACTCAAGAAGATAAGTCCTCCTGAGTCCAAGTCCGTGTACTATCCACTGTGCCATCCACCACTGACTTAACTCAAATTCAAATTGATTCAATCAAAGCCTTTGCAGACTATACCCACGTCTCCAGACCAATCCTATCACCTGAGGATTATTCCCATTTCTCAGCAGGGAAGTAATGGGGAGTAGTTGAGGTGTTGGACTCTAATTTGAATCCAGGTCCCTCCCAATGTTAAATCTGTTGCTCTTACTACCACACTACCCTGCCTCATCATTAGGGAAAAAGTCTAGGACATGACACCCTTACTGCTAAAAACCTGACCTCCTTTCTAGAGAAATACATCGTTTGTTCTACAAGGGCCACTGAACCCAAGAGTTTGTGGCTCTAGCTGAGCCTGCCCCTTTCAACAAGCATTTATTAAATGCTTATCATGTGCCAGACATTATGCCAAGCTATTTTTCCCTAGTACTTCCCTCCCAGAGATCTAACTTATCTCCTACTGCAGTGAAGTCTCATCCAGTGGATAGTGTAACATTTATTTTCCTGAGGACATGTAGGGCAGGAAAGGCAAGGCTAGCAGCCTTCTCCACCACTGGTGGCCATTTTCCCCTAGATCCTTGATTTTTCTTCTCTTTCTTCTCTACAGGGACCATCCTAACACTCCTCTCCAAGGGCTGGAAGTTCTACAATGGAAACCTTTACTATTTTTCCCAAAAGAGTACATCCTGGTATGAGGCTGAAAAGTTCTGTATATCACAAGGGTCTCATCTGACATCTGTGGCCTCAGAGGAAGAACAGGTCAGTCCTTCTAACCCTGATTCACAGCAAGGCTTTAGAGAATGGTGTATGGAATCACCATTTTTAAAGATGCTTCCCTTTCAGGGCAGGGCTTGCCTAATTCTAGAGGAAGGCAACTCAAATGGTGAAGATCCTTGAGCCATATGAGGATTTGTTGGAGGAACATGTTTAGTCTGGAGGAGACAGCAGTTCATGGGGGATTGCCCAAGCTGACTCCCATGCCTAGAATTCATTCTCTCATCTCTGCTTCTTAAAACCCTTGATTTCTTTCAAAACTCAGCTCAAGAGCCTCCTTGTGCTTGAGGTCATTCCTGTTCTCCTCCCTCTGCTCATGCCTCCCTCAAAATTATCTTGGATTGATTTTCTTTGTACTTATAGGAATACTTGTTGCCTCCCCCAGTGGGATGTAAACTCCTCAAAGAGTTATTTCCATTTGCATCCCCAGTGCCTAGCGTATGCCTGGCACACAGTAAGGTCATTGACCTATTGACTGGTATGATAGCTGTCTTCAGATATTTGAATGGCTACTTTTGGAAGAGGGATCAGCCATGTTCTGCTCAGCCCCAGAAGGCAGAACTAGAACCAGTGGGTGGGAGGTACAGAGAGGCCATCTAGGCTTGATGTCCAGGATAACCTCCCAACAACTGGAGCTGCCCCAGAGTGAAGAGGGCTGTCCCTGTTTAGTGACCAAATGTTAACACACTATATGCATGCTAGTTGTGTTGTTGCTGGTGTGGTCTTCCTCACTGGAGACCTTGACATCAAGATTGGATGACCATTCATCAGTGAAGTCAGAGAGGATTCTTGCTAGGGTATGTGTTAGACTGGATGGTCGCCAAACCCTGAGATGTTGTGGTTCTGACGTTTATTGAAGGGAAGGGCTCAATGTTATTTTGAAAGGGCTTTCCCCATGATAAAGATTTTTTTTTTGATTAGGCAATGGGGTTAAGTGACTCGCCCAGGGTCACACAAGTAGCAAGTATTATGTGTCTGAGGCCAGATTTGAACTCAGGTCATCTTGAATCCAGGGCCGGTGCTCTGTCCACTCTGCCACCTAGCTGCTCCTCCCATGATAAAGATGTGATGCGGCCAGAGAAAGCACCAGGAAGCCTCTCATCCTAAGGGAAGTCTAGGGGCATCTAATATGGTCCATATCCCATACTTGCTCTGGCTCCATTGAGTGGCAGTATCCAAAGGGTTTTTTTGCTCATGCACTCCTATCAGTAAGACGTTATTGATCATGTTCACTCAATAAATACACATTTATTTACATATAAATGGCAGGTACCATTAAAATATGCAGCTAGGAGGCTGAAGTAATTAAGTAGCATAGTGGATAGAGTGCTGGGCCTGGAGTAAGGAAGCCTGAGTTAAAATGCAGTATTTGATACCCTGGGCAAGTCACTTAACGCCATCTGCCTTAGTTTCAACTATAAAATTGGAATCATAATAACACCTATCTCCTAAGGTTGTTGTGAAAATCAAATGAAATAATATTTGTCAAGCTCTTAGTACAGTGCCTAGAACATGGTAGGCACTTAATGAATGCTTTTCCCTTTCCCATTATATTATTATTGCTTATATATGATGTCTATTATGAAGCATAGACAAAAGAAAAGTTTTCAAGGGATGTAATAAAGGAGAAATAAATGATATTTTAAGCAAATTTTATGTATTTTATTCAGGAATAAAGTACAGCCCTCAGTGGATGCTGGCAGTGGGACTAGAGCAGCAGAGTGTTTAAGAACCATGAATGAATGAAAAGAATGAATTTCATTCTTTTCATTCATTCATTTGCTCATTCATTCACTCAAGGAGAACAGAAGAGGCCAATTGTGGCTCCAAGCACCCTGAGCAGTGGGTGTATGCACCCCATGTTGGAGACCATTGACCACCCTTTAAGTGACTCCATATAGCCTCTGCCCTGTCCCCAGCATCAACCCCTTCCACGATGTCTGCCTTCACCTCCTCTGTGATTATTATGTTCTAGAAGTTCCTTATTAAGAGAGCCAAGGACGTTTCCTACTGGATTGGCCTGACCAGCCTGGGTACTGACAGCAGCTGGCACTGGGTCGATGGGACTCCCTACAAAGAGACCAATAGCAGGTGAGTCCATAGCTGCCATCCTTCTGGGCACATCCTTGTATACACAAGCTCAGAGAGATCTTGAAAGCTTTCCCTGGGCCACACTTGAAGAAAGATGAGACTTCCTTGGCAGCATTCTGCTCTCAGACTCTTTGTCCCTGCAGCCCTCTGAATCATGTGTTCACTCTCTTACCTCTTCCCTAGCTGTCCCTCAAGGTTGTGGCTATTTGTTTGCCTCCTACAAATTTCTGGCATTGCCACAAATCCCATGTGCCTGTTGCCTTCTCTTCTCTCCATTCATGAAGCCGCCACCCTTGCAGGGGTTCTCCACACCTCTCACCTGGTCCTCATAGGTCTTCCTGACTGCAGTTTCCCCCAATCTAGTCTTTACCAGGCTGCCAAATGAAGTAAGTACAACATTTTAAAAAGTAAGAACAACATTTGCCTATTTTTTTTTAATGGAGAATGTAACCCCCTTGAGGGTAAAGAGCAATTCTATTAATTCTAAATTCTAAATAACAGTTCTATCCCCCCAGTGCCTGATAATGGGGGGACCTGAACCTATCAGGGGCAGGTAGGTACTTCCTTACCTTGGGGGTCAACCTCTAACCAGCCAATTTCATTCCATCTTTTCAGATCACTCTCCTTAGCTAAGAAAAACAGAAGGAAAATCTAAATTCATCAGATCTGTCTTCTTGCCTCAGTTGTCACTGGTTTATCTACCCTACATAGTTCCTCTCTCCTCCCCAACATAGCTAGAATCGCTTTGATTGTCTGAACTTTCCTTACTGGCTTGCCTTTATTCTGAGCCTCAGCATTCCTGCCACTCTCCTTAATAGATCATGCCCTACCTTTGTATTGACTTTCTTTTACCCACCCATATTCTGTTTCTTAAAAAAGTCTAAGTTGCTCAGGAAGTTGCCTGAGCATCCACATTTGTTTCTTCAGACCACATTCATCTTCCCTTCTTCATGAGAATTATTTCACTTGGTGGCTTCAGAACTTGACTTTTGAGAGTTTCCCATCTCTCCTTGATTGACTTCTCCTATCATATTTGGGTCCATAGGAAGAAGCCATGTGTGGGGCTGAGCATGAGAAAGGGATAGCTGACTTCAAGTATTTGAAAGACTCGTGTGGATGCAATTTGTTCTGTCTAGCCTCAGAGGGTAAAACAAAGAGAAAGCAAATTTTAGGGTGATGTCAGAAAACATTTCTTAATCATTAAAATGGGCTGCCTTGGGAGACAGTGGCTCCCTCTATATTGGAGGTCTTTAAGCAAGAGCTGAATGACAAGCTATTGGGTGTGGTATAGAGAGGAAATTTTTGCAGGCACAGGTCAGATTGATGGCTACTGTGGATGCCTCTGGCTCTGAAATTCTGCAGGAAAGAGAGTAAGCATTTATTAAGTACTTTTTGTGTGCCAGGCACTATGCTAAGCACTTGGCAAATATTATCCCATTTGATCCTCACAATGAGTCTGGAAGGTCATTACTGTCCCCATTTTCCAGTTGAGGAAACTGAGGTAGACAGAGCTAAAATGATTTGCCCAGGGTCTCACAGCTAGTAAGTCAGCCAGTCTGAGGCTGGATTTGAACTCAGGTCATCCCGCCTCCAGATCCAGGGCTCTATATACTGTACATAGGCACTTAGCTGGGCTGAGCAGATGAAAGATTAAAGACCATGGGTAAGCTATGGGGAACAACATGATGGGGAAGGAAGGCAGAGGGGAGGTGGAAAGCCAAATTCCCCAGCTGTTGCTCTCACCAGTTAAGTGTTTTGCCTTGAAACAAGCCCGGTCTCTTCCATTACATCCTCTTCCCTTCCATTATTTCAAATATATTTGACGTTGCCCAGCTTCCTTTCCTGAAATTTTTCATTCATTTTTCTCTTATTCAGTGCTTTGATTAAATCATTCCACTTTGTCTCTAAGTGGAATTTTGATTTGGGGCTGGTTCCTTGTTTTTTTTTTAAGTTTCCCAACTCAATAACCTTTAAATGATTGAATTGGTGACACGATGCACCAGCTCTACCGCCTACCCTAACCATTCAGTGATGGTGCACGCTGTGACCAGACGTGCTTCCTTTATGCCTCAGTTGAAAGCATTTACAAGATCTGATTATCTGCATCAGTAGAGGAGTGCCTCTTCATTCTGGAACAGAAAATGCATGGCTCAGGCAGGGTACGTTGCCGTAGTAACAAGCTTCCCTGTTGCCAGCCTTCCCTCCTGGGTCCTCCATTGCTGCCTTGCCCAGCCTCTTTCATTTCTTTAATACTTGGGCATCTTGTGGCCAAAAGTCTCTGACCACCAGGCCTTGTCTGCCCCGCTAGCCCCCAATCAGCCATCTGGTCTACAAACCACCTTTGCTGTATCGGGATGGCGGAGACCTGCCCTCTGAATAGTAGTGTCCCCATCAGTCCCTCTGTTGGACCAAGAGGGAAGAGCAGAGGATTGGAGCTGAAGAGGACAAAGGAGATGGGACATCCAGGCTTCCTGAAGCATCAATTTAATTCAGTTCAATTCAATAAGCATTTATTAAGCTCCTACTATGTGCCAGGCGCTAGGCAACAAAGACAAAGTGAAAGAACACCTGCCCCCATGAAATCTACATCCTACTGAGGGAAGCAACATGTCTGCAGATAAGTGAATATTAGCTATATTATTTTACATATTTATTTTATAAATAGATAGCTGTGGCTTAGCAGCTAGAGTCAGCCTTGAAGGCAAGAGGATCTGGGTTCAAGGCCCGCCTCTAACTTTCAGTATTCTAGAGACAGCTGGATAGAGTGCTAGACCTGGAATTAGGAAGGCCTGAGTTCAAATCTGACTTTAGGTACTTACTAGCGGTGTGACCCTGGGTAAGTCCCTTAGCCTTTGGCAGCCTCAGTTTCTTCAGCTGTAAAATGGGGATAAAAATAGCACCAACCTCCCGGGTAGTTGTGAAGCTCAAAGGAGATGATAATTGTAAAGTGCTTGTGTACTACCTGGCACATAGTAGGCACTATATACATGTTTCCCTCGCATGCAGCGTGTGTCAGAGATGGGACAAGGTTTTCTTACTCTGAGGTCAACTCAGTATGTACCACACCATTCTTTCATTCTGCCCTGTGCATGCTGTTTGGTTATTTTCAGTCATTTCAAACTCTTTGTGACTTCTTAGTACAGATACTAGACTAATTTGCCGTTTCCTTCTCTAGCTCAGGTGAGGAAACTGAGGCAAACAGAGTTGAGTGACTTACCCAGGATTACACAGCTATACGTGGCTGAGGCTGGATTTGAACTCATGAAGATGAGTCTTCCTGACTTCAGGCCCAGCACTCAATGCACTATAGCGCCACCTAGTGGCCCTGTAGGTGCTTAATGAAGGTTTGTTGCTTTGGATTGAGTTTAGCCTTCCAGACTCCATTCCATTTAGCTGCTATTTCCTTAGGCCTTCTGACTGTATTCATAGTAAAACTGTCATAGTGTAATTCATCCACCCACCTCTTGTGACAAGAACCCCCTATTTAGGATCTCGATAGTTAAATTAATGTTTGTGGATGGTCTAAAAGCTAGGTGGTTCTCAGTATTGACTGCCTCTCTTTCCACCATTCAGGGGTTACACCCAGAAACACCATGGAATGGCCTCCATGGAATCTGAGATCATTTTCAGATTTTTCTTCATTTCTTGTCTAGGTAGCCAGCTTCCCAGTGACCTTAGATTTAGAGCTTTAAAGGGACTTAGGGGCTGCCTAGTTCAAAACCTTCATCTTATAAATAAAGAAATGGTGGTTCAGAGAAAGGTTGAGTAACTTGAACACAGATAGTTGGTGACTCATCTGACTCCCAGTCTAGCAAACTTCCCAGTATACCACCATGGTGGATCCTCACACTGCAGATATGGTCTAGACCAGGAGCAGGGAACCTGTGGACTTGTGGCCTCAAAGCCATAGGTTCCACACTCCTGGTGTAAGCTTTGTCAAACCTGCCAGAGGTTGTGCCTGCTTTGAAAAAAAAAAACACCTCTGGGCCACATTGAGGGATCAAAGGACTCTTTACAACTCAGGTCACCAGAATGACTTTGTCCATTTTAAAATTTTATTTTTTTTCTCCAGGTTCTGGATAAAAGGTCAGCCACAACCCTGGAAGATGGAAGGCAAGTGCATGGAGATGCAGGTCAAGCCCCTGAGCTCATGGAAGGAGAGAGACTGTCAAGGCTATCTCCGGGGTCTCTGTAAAAGAGCTCTGGAGAGATTTGAGGAGTACTCAGATGTAGGTGGAACAATAGAACTTGACTAGGATGCCAGTGGCCCATCCTCAGAAGAGAAAAAAAAAAAATGGGCCACACCTTCTCTCCTAACATCTGAAGAAACCAAGACACTGCAGCCAGAAGGCCAGGTTCATGGTCCCTTCTGACTTGGCATAGGGCTTTTCCGTTGTCACTTCCTGAGGACACTTAACATCTGATTTATTCATATTTCTTTGGTAGTCTATATTCCCCTCTGAGGCACAACTGTAACATAGGGGGTGCTTTAGAAGGTCTGAAAATGCCCCTAATTGGAGCTTGGCCTTGAGGAGAATAAGAGTTGAACTCTTGATTTCTGCCGAGTCTTTCAGAACCTTGCAGGAACAGGGTGGGAGTGGGTATATATTTATGCAGAAAGGGAGAAACGGGAATTATCTTTATTTCCATTTTACTCTGAAACTCTAGGCAAAGAATAATTTTAGATAATGTTCTGGGGGACATAAACATTTGAAGCAGGACTTACCTTCATGGAGCTTACAGTCTAATAGGGAGATGATGATGATGATAATAATAATAATAATAGTAATAGTAGTCATGGTAGTAATAAAAATAGCTAAATAGCACCTACTATGTGCAAGGCACTGTGCTAAGTGCTTTACAATTATTATCTCATTTTATCCTCGTAGCAACCATGGGAGGGAGGTGCTATTGTTATCCCTATTTTACAGATGAGGAAACTGGGGCAAATAGAACTATGTTGCCCAGGGTCACATCTCTAGTAAGCATTGGAGGCAGCAAATACCGGTAAGCAGAATGCACAATCTTACCTGGCAAATACATTTTAGTGGGGACAAAATAAAGTTGTGTGAAGTTCTAAATGGAGCATCCTCATGGGAGAGGAGAGCTTTTCAAGGAAGCTTCATGGCAGATTTAGCCTTCAGGATAGAGAACTTTTACTGACAATGAGAGCTGACCAGCAGTGAGTGGACTGGGTTGCCTGTGGAGGGAATAGTCAGCCTCTCATTGGAGAACTTTAAGCCAAGACTGGATGGCCACTTGTCAGGGATGGTTTTTGTGGTAGAGCTTCTAGCCCTAGTGCACATTGTCCTAGACATCCTCTGAGTCTCATCCAGTTCTAGAATTTTATAACTAATTCTGGGAGTGTATCTTCTTAGTGATTAGATGGACAAGTCTAATATCCAGGGTATTGTCTTTCCAGGACAAGATTCATAGGAAATTCAATTCAATTCAAGGACTTGAATTAGGGGGAGATGCCAAACAATTCTCACAGTTGAATGGGTTAGTTAAATCTAACACCCTCTTTGAAAACCCTCTGAGAAAACACCCTCTGGGAAAAGGACCCTGTGAGGTAGCTGAGGATGCTCAGTTTATAGGTGAGGGAACTGAAACTCAGAGAGGTTCAGTGATTTTTTTTTCCAGGGTCGTGTGGCTAGTAAAAAAAATCTGGGGTAGCATTTGAAGTGGGGCTTTCTAACTCCAAATCCAGCAATTATTTCATCTACTACAGCATGCCTCCTCTTGAGACACTCTATATACCTCTTTTTATCCTTCCAAAGATCTCCTATCCCAATAGCCTTTAAAAATTTATACGCTTATTATATCACACTGTTGACTCATCAGATCTTGCAGCAGTCCATTAAGACCCATAGATCATTTTTATATGAATTTTTCCAAACCACACCTTCCCCCATGTAGTATTTCTGTGGATGATTTTTGGAACCTGACTTTTGGGAGTTCTTATTTAAGCACAGGTTGGACTACAACCTTTCTAACTCTGAGATTCTCATTTCATGACTTAATTTTTTTCCCCCTGAGGTTCCTTTCAGCCTCTTAATTACTTTTATTTTCATTTTTTTTGCTTTTTGGTGAGGCAATCAGGGTTAAGTGACTTGCCCAGGGTCACACAGCTAGAAAGTGTCAAGTGTCTGAGGCTGCATTTCAACTCAGGTCTTCCTGACTCCAAGGCCGGAGCTCTATCCACTGTACCACCTAGTTGCCCCAGCCTCTTGGTTCTCCAAATTCATTTCAGTTTGATTCAAGAAGCATTAATTAAGCAGAGCATTGTGATAGGGAAGATTCAAAGATTAAATAAGAAACAATCCCTGCTTTCAAGGAACTTTGTAGGAGGTTCAATTCAATTCACTTCAATAATAATTTATTAGGCACCTATTATGTCCCAGACACTGGGCTAAGCACAAAATTATAACTAAGTGCAAAGGAGAGGTACACACTGATTTTCTGTGGATCTTCCCTAGAATTAGAGAGATGGAAAGAACCTCCAATATGTGTGTCCTGTAAATGTCAAAAAATCCAGGATTCATTTGGTATGAGGAAAATGTAAGGTCCCCCAGTGGAATGTAAATTCCTTGAAGGCAAGAGCTCTTTTAGTTTCTGTAATTGTTTCTCTAACACTTAGCACATACTGAGTACATAGTGGATCCTTAATGATAATGGTAATGAATTGTGGTTTGAGTAATCTTTTCCTGGCAAAGTTTGCAACTTTCCTGATGCCCCTGTATTGGTTTCTCCCTTCAAACTGTGAATGAATAAATGAATGGATGAATGAAAACTCATTTATTAAGCACTGTGTAAAGTGCTAGGGATATAAATACAAAAGTGAGATAGCCCCTGTCCTCAAGCCTCAAGGTGCTTACCTTCTACTTGGGGAAGAATATATATATATATATATATAGGGAGTGGAGGCCAGGGAAGGATATTGTGGCTTGGCATATTATAGGAATAGAAAGTGGAACCATAGGAAAGTAAATTGATATACCCTTTCCAGTAGCAATGGTGATATTGATGATTATGGTTCCAGAATTGGAAAGTAGATGGGAGGAGGGGAGTGGTAAGGTGACTAGCAAGAAGATGGTTGTGGGGTAAGTTTTTTTTTTATTATAATTATCCCATATAGAGTTATCTATTTCCTTGTTGCATTCTCATATTCTTCCCCAGTAGAATATAAGTTCTTTAAGGACTATTGAATTATTTTGTCTCTGCATTCCCTAACCTAGCACAGTGCCTAGAACATGGTTGGCACTTTATAACTATTGAATTGAATTTAGCCTTTGACACTTAACACTTGATTGGTTTTAAAAATCAATTTGGCCTCAAAAATCCATTCACCTGGAAGTCATTAGGTACACCAACCATGACTTTGCTGATCATTGTAGAGACTATTATCAGGAAGGGGTCTGGTGGGAGATTAGTTTTTTTTTCCAATCCAGAAGGAGGGCCTGAAGGATCATAGGAAGCAGAAGCCTCTGGTGACAAGGGAAGGTGGAAACTTTTGCTTTCCCCAGAGAACATACAAGGGGAGGGTAGCTACACAGCAGTAGTGAACTGATGGCAAGGACGGATGTGGCTATTCCACACTGAATAGAATCATGAACAGTTGGAGCCTTATCTGGCTCATTGACCAAGTTCAGGAGTGACCAGCCTATACAGAATTTGCTGTTGGCCTGGATGTCCCTAGGTACCGTGTTACCATGCTGTAGGATATAGTGAAATTATCCCCTCTCCAACTCTTTCTCTCTCTTCTCTCTCTCTCTCTCTCTCAACGTTGGTCAGCCAGCTGGTATTGATACCCTTGGGAATTTGCCAATCTATTTGGAATTTGTTTATTTGTTATCTATTGTATAAGGTACTTTGTCTTCAGGTAAATATAAATTGATTTATGTTACATTCTGAGTGAGTGTTTGCTATAGAAGAGTGAGTCATGAGGGAAGGAAGATCAAAAGGGTTAATTGATTGAAACCAATTGCCATGAACCTGTATTAAAGTAGATATTTTATTGGCACCCCCACACCTTAGCTCAGGCTCTGAAAGTTTAGCCTTAAAAAGCCAATCAGATTGCCTCCATAACCCAATGAGGCACTTGAAGAGGGAACCATTGGAAGCTAAATTTGATCCATGTTCTTAAGTGTTCCTTTTGGCCCTTGGTTAATGCCCTTATATAACACTGGGTGTACATATGACAACACTATCTCCCATGGGACTTCCATGGTTTACATCCACTAGAGAACTTACTTCCAGCTGAACGCACCCAAAGCGCCCTGAGGTCTCAACCTTTTGTATAGATCCCAATCTTTCCCTAGTGCCCCAGGTTCCGTGTTTCAAATCCTGGGGTTTATATTAACTCCCCTGAATCACTCATAACTGTTTTGGCTTGTGATTCCTCAATCTTATTTTCTTTCTCAATTCAGTCCTAAAGAACTTACATACATTCAGTGTATGCTAACTACATGTGTATATGACTAACATATATGTGTACATAAATATATATACACAAACATATATATGTATGTATTATATGACATGTGAATGAATGGAATGGACAGTCATTTTTCAGTTGTGTCCAACTCTTTGTGACCTCATTTGGGGTTTTCATGGCAGAGATACCAGAGTGGTTTGTCATTTCCTTCTCTAGCTCATTTTTCAGATGAGGAACTGAGGGAAATGGGGTGAAGTGACTTGTCCAGGGGTCACATAGCTAGTCTGAGGCTGGATTGGAACTCATGAAGATGAGTCTTCCTGATTCCAAGCCCAGTGCACCACGTACCTGTCCAGTATGTTTTTTTAGATGCATGTACGTGTGTGTATGTATATGCATATATGTAAAATTTATTACACTGGCAACAACAGTAAACATAGAGAAGCTAAGACAATCACTATTGGTACAGATTCAATTCCAGGCTCCCCTCTCTCCCCACCCCCATCTCCTGCATTCTGTTCTTCCTCATTTTTGTTATGGGAACAGTGATGCCCAAAGCCCATTTGCAGAGGAGTAGAGTTAATAAGTATTCTTAGCCTTAATGATTAAAGGGCAACTGTGGAATTCTGGGCTTACCACAGTCACTCATGCTGGCTTGAGCAGCCTTGCAGCTAGCTGAAGCTGGCTGGCAGATGTGTTAGCAGGCTGGCCCTTGGAAATCACTCTGGGGCCATGCACTGGGCCAGCTTCTTTTACTGCGTTTGTACATGAGAAGCGGATACATCAAGACACAGGAGTCAGCCAGAAGTCCTATAGTTTATAGAGCAGGATCCAATCGTAACCATGGACAGCTACCTTTTCTGTTGGTCCTCAAGACTACTCCAGCTACAGACTTCCTTTAATGCTGGCGGCTTCCCCTCTGGGATTGTCTCCAATATACCCAGTCTGTATCTAGTTTGCATTTGGTTATTTGCATTGTGCCTCCCTCAGACGGTGAGCTCCTTGAGGGCAGGGACTGTTCTGTTTGCTTGTTCTTGACTTTCTTTGTCTCTCCAGGGTTTAGCACAATGAGCCAGGCCCTTAATAAATGCTTGTTGACTTGACTTAACTTTTCCATGTCCAGAAAATGCAGAAGAAAACAGGAAGGACATCACAGTGGGAAGCGGGTTCCACGAGGGTAACAAGGTAGTCAATCAACAAACATTTATTGAGTGGCTACTAAATAAGCCATTATGCTAGTGGGGGGAGGAAGAACATGGTCCTGCCTTGACAGAACTTATAATCTGAGTGACTATGTACAAACCCACAAACAGGGGAAAAACAAGTGAGGCAATGCACTATTAAGTGTCAAA